GAAGTGAATTATCAATGTCGAAGTACGATCTGTTGGGATTGATTTCAGCGAATAAACGACATAGTTTTTCCAAAAAACTAGTAACTAGCCATTTTTGAGAGGTAAACTGTATATGGCATGAAATATTTACCGCATTTTACTTGTATTAACAGGTCATTGTCGAAGCGTAGTTTACGCATGGTTACCGTGTTCTACGCATTCACAACATGTTCACAACGGTCGATAACCACGCTGTATCATATAAAAAAACGATTACCAAGATTCGTTACGCAAGACCAAGTTTTAAATTAGTTGCATTTTGAAGGGGTGGGCGCTTTGCCGAATGTGACCCCAAATATAAAAATTGCGCAAAAGTGGGGGGTGGGCGCTTGCCCGGGCATGGGCGGTAACGCGGTCGAGTATGGTATATCAATGTTCAAGGTTTGTAATGAAAAAATAAAACTTTTCTTGCCACTATCATAGTGAAAAATGTAATACATCAAAAATGTACAGAAAATATAGTTCTCGTAATCCATCATATCGTGAGCAGCTATTTTGATCCACCTGGACATCCCAGTATCCTAGTTATCTCGGGCATGCGCATTCGCATTTTTCTGAGTTGGAACGCTTATGCGAGAGCGAGATTGTAACGGGATCTTGGTATCATGTCACTGTAGTTACAAACCCCAAGTAATGTACCTCTGGTTCAATATAAAACATAGGAAAACATGTATTTTCACCCCTTCAGGGAAAATAGCGAAAATAAATTCCAAATATAGTACTTTGCAGTATTGAATTAAATCAAAATCAATTATGCAAATGAGTTTGATGTTATGTGGCTTCATCCTCTTATCATACCTCTATGCTCTTATTAATATCAAATATAAGTTTATAAATTTGATGTTTGTTAAAGTTCAAACACAAGTGGATAAGTAGTCACAAAATAGAATTTAATTGGAAAACTAATACTGTGGAATACTTTATTTTCGCTGATATTAATTTTCGCTGAAAAGACTTTTTGGGCGTTTTGCCTGGAATTTATTTTCACTTATTTTGATGAGTTTAATGTGAAATATAGGGGAAAAAAGTATATTTGCTGGATTTTATTTTCACGGAATCATTCCTTCAGCGAAAATAGCGAAAATAAATTCCAAGCAAAAATAAAGTATTCTACAGTAAATAAATAAGGTAAGTCAAACTTATAGAAAGGCAAACAAAGTACAATGACACTGGTCACATGACAGAAATGCTGTTTTTGAGCTAATTGACAGGAACAAATATATTAAAACCTCACCTATGTATATGACATAAAAGATAAACTTGTAATGTCTCAATTCTGCTTTTATGTAACTAGTTTTACGTTACATAATTTTACGTAACATATCTAATATGTAACTTACATATACAGCATTTCATTTATTTTTCATATACTATTTCACGACAGGGACTGTCATATATCATATGTTATCTTAAAGTAGAAGCCTAGTCATAATTTATGACAAAATTGGTCATAAATCGCATGACAATGTTCATTAGTTTATTATGTACAATCATGAAGCTAATGTCTCATAGTACAATGAAATAGCATTATTTTGTGTGTTACAGTTATGCTTTTTCAGAAACGTGTCCTAATATTTTATGAAAATTGCTATTTTTAGAACAATTCCATAGAACACAATGATAAAGAAAAATTGCATTTTTTGACACTTTTTTAAAACCCAGATTTTCTAAATAATTCAGAACAACAAAAAGTACTCCACCATTAACAATATATGATTTTTTCAGCCTATGTCACCAGGCTAGATTTTGAGATATTGCATAATATCTCTGCCATAAACTTGTGGTAAAACTGTTATAATAGTGTCAAAGTGGCGACTTTCCACTAAAATACAACCACCAATTTCTCGAAAAAAAGGCTGGTGACCCTCAACTTTTTTAGGTCAATATCTTTCTATTGCCTTGGAGTACATGTACAATTTATTGCAAAATGAATAAATTCTGGGTTTTTTAATTTATAGGTAATCTTCTGCCTTAATAGAAGGATCTGTTCATCCTTATTTCAATAACTTTCCTACAGTTAGAAGTTATCATTGCAGAGTTAATGTTTTACTCTGTAGGTCGTTTGTACGGCGTGAATTCTCCAAAACTGTGGATTGGGGCAAATGATAGATCCAGTGAAGGAGGATGGGAATGGAGTGATGGAACACCATTCGCATATTTTAACTGGGATACAGGTAATCAGAATCTTACATGAGACTTATACATTTTCTGTAATATATGGTATACATTAGAATGAAACACCTTTCGCATATTTTAACTGGGATACCAGGTATGTACGACCTAGAAATAGTGCCGTATGCGAGTACCAAGTTGCGAGTCACAAGTAGCAAAATATGCCATATGCTAGTGGTAAAAACGGCATATGCGAGTGGTAAAATGTATTGTTTGCTAGTAGCAAAAAAGCCCTATGCGAGGGGTAATACAAAGGCTTGTAACGTTTTCTTATAATATAACAACGTACGTTCAATTGTGTTTTATCACATTAAAATCAAATATTTAAATGGCAGCGCGCGACACAAGAATTCTGTGACCCTTCGATTCTATGCAAACGACTGAACGAACTTTTTGATATAAACACTTAAATGAATAATAAACAAAAAGCACTGGAAATAGTAGTTAAAGCTGCTTTTATTTGCGACCTTCGCAATGTAATCCGCGTACACTAGTCGACTGTAATATTGAGTACAGGGCGGTGTACGCCGGTTGACACCTAGGCTAGATCGCAATGACACCTATTTGCTACCACTATTTTTATATATGAATCACCCCTAAATTAAAAACCTTAACAGCATCATGCCAATATTAACCAACCATGTACACATCATTTCATAACCATGGTAAATATTTGATTTTACTGTGATATTATAAGCAAACGTTACAAGCCTTTGTATTACCCCTCGCATAGGGCTTTTTTGCTACTAGCAAACGATACATTTTACCACTCGCATATGCCGTTTTTACCACTAGCATATGGCATATTTTGCTACTTGCGACTCGCAACTTGGTACTCACATATGGCACTATTTCTAGGTCGTACATACCTCGGGATACAGGTAATCAGAATCTTACTTGAGACTTATACATTTTCTGTAATATATGGTATACAATTATGAAGATCAAAGTATTATGATTAATCTTGGCTACATTTGAGCAGTTTACATGATTTTGTCATCGTAACACCATAAGTTACAGCATACCGTAATTTTGCCATATTGCAGTGGGTATTTTTATCCTATTATATTAGGAAATATAACTTCCAACTATAGAACGATTACGCGTGTAAGCGCTCTCTAATAATAATAAAAAAACCATGGCTGCCCTCAAGGTTTGACCGGACCCCACACAAAGAAGTTCGCAAAATCTGTTCTAAACATTTTGGATTTTGGCATGATGTATTCCTGGGAGAAAAAGTTGTATAATATTAAGGTTATTATGAGGATACTGCAAAGTATGCACTCAGACAGTACATGGTCGCATCGACCTCTGCTGCATGTCAGTCGATGCTCCTGCTGTACTGTCTTTGTGCATACTACGCAGTATCTTTGTAATAACCTCATAATATCACAAATAGTGAGACACAATCCACTGTGTATTGTATGTTGAGAATACATTACTGTACTGTACAGTGAAGATGCATTACTGTGTATTGTATGTTGAGAATACATTACTGTACTGTACAGTGAAGATGCATTACTGTGTATTGTATGTTGAGAATACATTACTGTACTGTACAGTGAAGATGCATTACTGTGTATTAATTGTATGTTGAGAATACATTACTGTACAGTGAAGATGCATTACTGTGTATTGTATGTTGAGAATACATTACTGTACTGTACAGTGAAGATGCATTACTGTGTATTAATTGTATGTTGAGAATACATTACTGTACAGTGAAGATGCATTACTGTGTATTGTATGTTGAGAATACATTACTGTACTGTACAGTGAAGATGCATTACTGTGTATTAATTGTATGTTGAGAATACATTACTGTACTGTACAGTGAAGATGCATTACTGTGTATTGTATGTTGAGAATACATTACTGTACTGTACAGTGAAGATGCATTACTGTGTATTAATTGTATGTTGAGAATACATTACTGTACAGTGAAGATGCATTACAGTGTATTGTATGTTGAGAATACATTACTGTACTGTACAGTGAAGATGCATTACTGTGTATTAATTGTATGTTGATAATACATTACTGTACAGTGAAGATGCATTACAGTGTATTGTATGTTGAGAATACATTACTGTACTGTACAGTGAAGATGCATTACTGTGTATTGTATGTTGAGAATACATTACTGTACTGTACAGTGAAGATGCATTAATGTATTCTCAACATATAATACATATAATACACAGTAATGTTGAGAATATATTACTGTACTGTACTGTGAAGATGCATTACAGTGTATTGTATGTTGAGAATACATTACTGTACTGTACAGTGAAGATGCATTACTGTCTATTGTATGTTGAGAATACATTACTGTACTGTACAGTGAAGATGCATTACTGTGTATTGTATGTTGAGAATACATTACTGTACTGTACAGTTAAGATGCATTACTGTGTATTACATGTTGAGAATACATTACTGTACTGTACTGTGAAGATGCATTACTGTGTATTGTATGTTGAGAATACATTACTGTACAGTTCAGTGAAGATGCATTACTGTGTATTGTATGTTGAGAATACATTACTGTACTGTACTGTGAAGATGCATTACTGTGTATTGTATGTTGAGAATACATTACTGTACTGTACAGTGAAGATGCATTACTGTGTATTACATGTTGAGAATACATTACTGTACTGTACTGTACTGTGAAGATGCATCACTGTGTATTGTATGTTGAGAATACATTACTGTACTGTACTGTGACGATGCATTACTGTTTATTGTATGTTGAGAATACATTACTGTACTGTACTGTGAAGATGCATCACTGTGTATTGTATGTTGAGAATACATTACTGTACTGTACAGTGAAGATGCATTACTGTGTATTGTATGTTGACAATACATTACTGTACTGTACAGTGAAGATGCATTACTGTGTATTACATGTTGAGAATACATTACTGTACTGTACTGTACTGTGAAGATGCATTACTGTGTATTGTATGTTGAGAATACATTACTGTACTGTACTGTGAAGATGCATTACTGTGTATTGTATGTTGAGAATACACTACTGTACTGTACAGTGAAGATGCATTACTGTGTATTGTATGTCAAGAATACATTACTGTACTGTACAGTGAAGATGCATTACTGTGTATTACATGTTGAGAATACATTACTGTACTGTACTGTACTGTGACGATGCATTACTGTTTATTGTATGTTGAGAATACATTACTGTACTGTACTGTACTGTTAAGATGCATTACTGTGTATTGTATGTTGAGAATACATTACTGTACTGTACTGTGAAGATGCATTACTGTGTATTGTATGTTGAGAATACATTACTGTACTGTACAGTGAAGATGCATTACTGTGTATTGTATGTTGAGAATACATTACTGTACTGTACTGTGAAGATGCATTACTGTGTATTCTATGTTGAGAATACATTACTGTACTGTACTGTGACGATGCATTACTGTTTATTGTATGTTGAGAATACATTACTGTACTGTACTGTACTGTGAAGATGCATCACTGTGTATTGTATGTTGAGAATACATTACTGTACTGTACAGTGAAGATGCATTACTGTGTATTGTATGTTGAGAATACATTGCTGTACTGTACTGTACTGTGAAGATGCATTTCTGTGTATTGTATGTTGAGAATACATTACTGTACTGTACTGTACTGTGAAGATGCATTACTGTGTATTGTATGTTGAGAATACATTACTGTACTGTACTGTGAAGATGCATTACAGTGTATTGTATGTTGAGAATACATTACTGTACTGTACATACAGTGAAGATGCATTACTGTGTATTGTATGTTGAGAATACATTACTGTACTGTACAGTGAAGATGCATTACTGTGTATTGTATGTTGAGAATACATTGCTGTACTGTACTGTACTGTGAAGATGCATTTCTGTGTATTGTATGTTGAGAATACATTACTGTACTGTACTGTACTGTACTGTACTGTGAAGATGCATTACAGTGTATTATATGTTGAGAATACACTACTGTACTGTACAGTGAAGATGCATTACTGTGTATTGTATGTTGAGAATGCTGTACTGTACTGTACTGTACTGTACTGTGAAGATGCATTACTGTGTATTCTATGTTGAGAATATATTACTGTACTGTACTGTAAAGATGCATTACTGTGTATTGTATGTTGAGAATACATTACTGTACTGTACAGTGAAGATGCATTACTGTGTATTGTATGTTGTGAATACATTACTGTACTGTACTGTACAGTGAAGATGCATTACTGTGTATTGTATGTTGAGAATACATTACTGTACAGTACAGTGAAGATGCATTACTGTGTATTGTATTTTGAGAATACATTACTGTACTGTACAGTGAAGATGCATTACTGTGTATTGTATTTTGAGAATACATTACTGTACTGTACAGTGAAGATGCATTACTGTGTATTTCATGTTGAGAATACATTACTGTATAGCGTGAAAACATTACTGTATTGTATAGTGTGAAAACATTACTGTATTGTATAGTGTGTTTACATTACTGTATTGTATGATGTGAATACATTAGTGTATTGTATGGTGTGAAAACATTACTGTATTGTATGGTATAAAAACATTACTGTATTGTATAGTGTAAAAACATTACTGTATTGTATAGCGTGAAAACATCACTGTATTGTATGGTGTGAAAACATTACTGTATTGTATGGTGTGAAT